AAAGACTTGGGAATATGGGGTCTGAGCGCAACGTTGCCCCCTTAGGGGGTTCCAATAGGCATAGCTCCTGGCGGATTATATAATTTTTCCTACCAAAATCCCAAAGTTGCATCTGTGACATCCCCATTTTTATGGCTCAAAAGGCCTTTGATTTATACTTATTTTAAAAATAGAGTAGTGTAGACTTTGTCCCATAAAAGTATTTCCGAAGAAATGTTTTTCACTGATTATTAAAACTTGGGAGCTCATAATTGATACAAGAAACATAAGCATAAACCTAATCATTACAGACCTTACAATATATTTTATACTATGGCGTATATTTCCTCCCATCTTTCATCAGGTTCGAACATTATTATCTTTGTACTGCTTCCTGTGATACAAAGAATCTTAGTGGGTCAAGTTGGGAAACCTGGTGAGTACATAGGGTTATCAACTCATAATAATATAGTCAATTTGTTTAATTATCTATTTCGTGTCAAACAATTGACCTGATTACTCATTCCCATTGTCTTCTTTTTTCATCTATGGAGTCCTATCTTAAGGACTATCATTGTAATTATCATGGTTGTCATCTATATTCTATTAGATGACTACATCGTTAGTACAATAGTAATAGTTCCTACATCGTTAGTACAACCAGTCCCTATATCGTTAGTATAATAGTATCAATTCCTAGATCGTTAGTACAATAGTACTATTAAAGTCGTGATATCCTATCATTATTTGCATCTTTCATCGTACTATGTCATCTTATCATTTTTACATTTTATTACCCAATGTATTATATTCATAAAAATACATATACGTCATAAATCATATAAATTTATCTTTATATCATTTCATATAATACAGAACATCTGTACACATAGGCACATATAACATTCAATTATCTAAATAATTCATATATGTGTGGAAGATGAAAGTAACTATGCACTCACTTGTTAAAAGTGGATGACTGGAAAGTTGGGTAGCGCTCGCTTCAATACTTAGCTTTTCCTTTGATGTGACCTAGGTTCATATCACTAAGTCTTAGTCTTATATTCCTGGCGACTAATGATAGTCTAGATTCCTCACTAATTTCAATGTCTACATCAAGATCTATCAAGTAAGGAACAACAAGGTAGGATCATATCAGAGGTAGGATTTGTTTGGTATACAGAGTCTACTCTTTGGAAATTCCACTTTCAACACCTCACTAAATCCAGCCTAGACATCATTCTCGTAAGTAGATCAATTGCTATAATGACTTGGAATCACTGATAAATCTTATTTATAGGTTCATAATAACGACTATGAACATAAATGTAAGTTACACTTGAAATAAAATAAGTGTAGCTTAACTTACAGAGATTTTAGTGAAAACCGGGAAATCGTGTGGACATAACTCTGTCCCGGGAGCTTCTATTCTCCGACTTTCTGACGTTGCAGGGCCTCGCTAAAGTAGTCGGAAAACTAGAGAATAAATGGGCTAGAGGTACGGAAGTATTCCAGAGGATTTGAGTGGAAATGGTGTGAGGAGAATGTTGAAAAACAAATATATATATATATATATATATATATATAATATATATATATATATATATATATATATATATATATATATATTATATATATATATATATGAGAATTTTGAGTGCGCGTCGCACACTTGGTCGGGGTGGGTGTCGTGGCTCCAGCAATCATGTGACATGTGGCAACTTCTCGGTGGTATGTCAGAGGCGTGTCGCGCACCTGCACGTCCGATTTAACATATTTTCAAAAATTCATATTTTATTCATACAACCTCCATTTTTTACGTTCTTTATATCTGGGCTTAGTTATCGACGAGATCTACAACTTTCATTTAAACTTTGTCGACTAATTTTCACTTTATTTTTAAGGTTATATTCTTAACAGACTTACACTGTTAAAGTCCATATAAAAGTCATACTCTTTCGTACGGCATTCGTTCTCGACTGTCTTTATATTGACGGAATCATATCGTCGAGATCTTCGACTCTCGTTTAGATTGTTTTTCCTAACAATCGACCGACTTGAATTTTCGGTTTCTATGTTATACAGTTGTGCTGAAAACTTCGAAAAATCATAACTTCCTTACATGAAGTCAGATTTAGACGTTCTCTATATGCACGCTCTCGGTTTAACAAATATTATGACTTTTATTTACATTACTTAGTCTAATAATCAATCTATCTAAAATTCACTTTTTACGATATGCATAGTCGTGTCGGTTTAATCGCGAAACTTCGAAAAATCATAACTTCTTCATACGAAGTTGGATTTCAGAGTTCATTATATGTACAAAATCTTTGTCACGTATACTATAACGTTGATTAAGACTTTATTCTAAATAATCTTCTATAAAGATGTCATTTTATCGTTTATTATATCTTACATGTCTAGCCCAAAGTTGTGGGTGTTATAACATTCATTAGTTAGGGCGTCGTTTCACCCTTAAAACCATTGTCTTTTTTGTATATGTAGAAGATTAGAATGTTGCACAATAGAGACAAACACAAAAAACTGCATCTTTTTCTTATCTCTACAAGTTATCTCTAGAAAAAATACAATCAATTGCAAGGTATTTTTGTGTTGAATTTGGAATAGACTTGTATTCCTATTCGATTTGTTCTTGGATTATCCCAAATCGGATTTCGTGATATCCATACAATAGGGTCGAAATCATATATTTTAGAAAATGTTCTTATATACAATCCTTATATTATCCAAGTGCTATTATTGATATTCAAAACACAAAGTAAAATTACGAATTGCATTAACAAAAAGATTAGAAGCAATGATGGCAACAAACAATACTTTCTTCAAGTAAAACTGCAGTGGAAACCAACCTCTATTAATGGCGACGAACAACTCTAGAGATTGTATTGAATGAAAGAAAAGTGACGATGTGGCCAATTAAACTACGACTTTTGTTACTTGCAAGTGCATGACTTCAAAATGACTTGAGATTAATAAAGCAATCTTAGACCGAGTATCACAATAAAGAACCTTTTTAATAAACTTTTTGCATCTAGTCATCCACACATCCACAAATCCAAAAGCTTTGTAAAACTTCATTGTAGTAATGATATTTCACAAAGCGGCTACCAATATCAACCATTCGATTTATAAAGTAAATAAATGAATTAAATAATGAAACAATTCTATTTATTGAGCTTGTAATTTACAAGCAATGTGGAAATGTTTGGAAATTAAAAGAATAATTTAAACTATCACAATAGTTCGACTTTATATAACTTATTTCACCCGATAAAGTCTTGAAAAAGCTACTATTATCAAAATTGGACACTCATATACATGATATATTTTCATAAGACCCAATGATACTACTAGATTGGAAACCACATTCTAGAAGGATTCAAATCCAAATAAAAATTGGAATAAATTACACGAATGGTCCCTATGGTTTGGGATAGTTTACGCGTTTGATCGTTAACTTATTTTTTTAACTTGGAATTTCTCTACTATTTGTTTTTGTTACGCGCTTGGTCCTTACTGTTTGTTTTTGTTATGTGTTTGGTCCCTGTCATACCTAAAATAACTATTATTTAAATAAAGAAAAATAATGGGATAGGTAAAATAAGGCGACAGGGGTGGAATTGGAGGTCTGTTTACAGTGTCGGCCCAAGCCCAGGGCATCAAGTTGTAGTGGGGCATCAATTTTTTAAAGCGTGTTATAGTATTATTGTATATTGGGTCACACACATCTATTTGGTTAGTCCAGTAAAACCATGTGAAGACATAAGGGGCAGGCGGGCAGCAGCCGATGGAGACCTAATTAGCGCCATCAAGTTCGCACAGATGCATGGCGACTCTTCAATTCTTCTTCGATCTAAAACACACGCCAACTGAAGATGAAGAACACGAGGCGTCGGGCGTCCCTTCTGGAGAATGGAGATGGACCGTTGACTACTCGATTAGAATTTAAAATCATCTCGTCTATCACTCTATGGCTATATCGATCGCTCACCAGTCATCGCTCTCTGCCTCTCTCGTCCGCTTCAGCTTTCAGCCTTCTCTCGCCCTTTCTCTCGTTAGCTTCTCCTATGTTCTTTCTTTCTGAATCGACCTCTACTACTCTAAAGCTGTAATAGTTTATCTATTGCAGTAAATCTGTTGTGTTAAAGTGAAGATTCAAAGGTGCCAAATTGGGATTGATTGAATTTGTCCTCCTGAAGTCCTAATCCTGTAATCCCAGTAAGTTTTATCTATTATTTCAAATTTCTTGCATAACCTACTTAAAGTTTCGAAAATTAAAATTTATGAAATTTCAGTTTTCTTATATAGCTTACTGCCCAGAGAAGTGAAATTTCGATCAAGGTTGCAGTCTTGTTGATCCTGAACTACACTAAGCAGTCTAAGCTTCATTAATTTTACCGGTCACGGTTGCTTCTGTGGAAAGAAGTTTTTCGAAATTGAAGTTATTGAAATCATATCTTCGAAGTATCATGACTCAAGAAAGATTAAATGGATTAGCAATTTTGAGTATTGAAAGTCAATTCCTACGAAGTCTTGATTATGATAAAATAATAGATGTTTTTGCTTCAAAAAATGCAAGGAGGCATCGTTTTAGATAAATTTTATGTATGCTTTTGTTTGTGTAACCTTGTTTTGGTTTGAATATAAAATTTATTTCATTTTTGCTATTTTTTTTAATTAAATAAAGGCATAATTTAGAATCTCGCCCCGAGCATTGAAAATCAATGGACCGGCCCTGTCTGTTTATTTTAATAAATTAAAAAATCAAAGGCAAAATAGTCTTTTTAAGTTAGACAAAGACCAAACACCTAACAAAAACAAACAGTAGGAACCTTCTGAGTTAAAAAAAATAAGTTAAAGACCAAACATACAAATTACCCTAAACCATAGGGACCATTCGTGTAATTTACTCTATAAATTGATTACAAGAAACGATCTTTACCACTATAACATGATCATAAAACTCTTGTATGGAATTATATTCTAAAATTTCGTAACACCAATACAAAATCTAATGAACAAACTCCAATTTTCATATACCAATTCCACCAACACAACCACTCTCTAGAAAACTAAAACCCAACCTATCATTCTCACTGTAATCACATCATTTCCAACAACCAATATACACAAATAACACCAACTTAAAAACATCAATGGTGTTTTCCATTTTCCCTATTCTTCAACACATCCTTCAACACAACACCGATTCTATTCGCCATGTGATGTTCCAAAAACATTTCTTTCACCCTTTCATACCCTCTCTTTCCCATTGTTAACCTTCTTTCAACATGTGTCGCCATTTTCACCATGTTTTTTGCAAGAGGAGTCACCCCTTCTTTTCCTGGAAGATGTAGAAAACCCGTTGACCCGTTGACCACAATCTCTGATGTCCCTCCTGCTGATGTTCCCTATACAAACAAGTTGATCAATAAAATTAAATTAAAATAAAAAGATTTGAGTTTAAAATTTAATTACAAAGTCATCAAATATGTTTTATTTTTTTTTGTGTGGTGTTTACCAATACGGGTAGTTGGAATGCCATTGCTTCGATTGTTATCCTCCCAAAGCACTCTCCTCGGCCCTATAAAGATTTGATTGATTTTTAAAAAAAATGCATCGATCATAAATTATTAAATTATATTGTTTAATTATAATTATAGAATTTATAATTTACAAAACCAAAAGGTTAAACATAATAATAAAAGGATGATCACTAAAATGACCAAATGAAAATTATTTGAACGTTTATGACAAAAATAAATAAAGCCCAATTTGGAAATTATTCTTTTTTGGGAAATTATTCTTGTGTTGCGAAATTCTCATGGGACCATTATTAAAACAATTTACCAAAAAACAATTTCTCCTATTCCATTGTACCCAACATCTATTCATTATTCAATACCATTTACATAATCATAAAAAAATCGTAAGTACACCATAACTCTTCAAAGCTAATTACCTGAGAATTTTGTACTAGAACATCAATGGCTGCAAGATATGGAGCAACATTTAGAGTTTTATTCACAAAATGAACTCGATGTTGAATCTTCTTCAAATTCACAAAGTTTCTAAGTTCTGTTTCAAATTTAATCTGCACACTCATATCACTTCCCACAATCACTGCATGAACTGAAGGCACTTGAAGCTTCTTTTCTTGAATTATCTGTAAGCTCTCATGAAATGAACGCAAAAATAAATCTTGACCTTTTCCACGCGAAACACCTGTAAATCGTTATCATATTGACATATAAACATATAAACATATTCGATTCATCACCTTGTTTCTATATTGAAAGGAATAAAGTTAGATTAAAGCGAAAAACTTACTATTAATAGCAGCGAAAAGTATATCTTCATTACGCACTCCAAGAGACTCTCGAACATGCTCCCTTAAAACCCTTTTTGCTACATTATCTTCTGCGACATCCATGAGCTCTTTACTGTTTCCGAGATGAACAACGTAAGTTTTTGGCATCTGAATCCTGGAAATTTAAGCATGAATTGTTAAATTAAAGAAATGGGAGAGTTTATTTTAGGTATAAAGAGAAATTAGGAAAGAGAAAAGAGCTTACTTTAATCGTTCTTGAGTTCTGTTTTTCCAATATTCAGCTGTAACGTAGGAATCAATCATAGACCCAGCTACCATTGGTAAATGTTTGACGTAATCCAATTTGAAGTAATGACCTCGCATTTCATGAATCCACCATAGCACTTTTGGGAGAATTTGAGGGACGTTTTTATTCAGAACAGCGTCTAGCCATTTTCCGGCGACGGCAGTGTTTAAAACAACCAAATCGGCTTTAATGGCGGTGTTTATAGCTTCTTGACCTTTAGCAGAGAAGACCTGTACTCCACGATCCAGCATCTTGTTCTCCAAACTGTAAATTACCTCATCTTTCCCCGGTGGCTTTTGAAGCGTTATCCAACAAACTTCAGCACCAACACCTCGCAATAGAAACGCTAGTTCCATTAATAGCAATGGACCACCTGAAACACAAATCAACAAATTGAAAAGGGGATCAAAGGAATCAGAATGTCGATTACATCATTTCTCACTAATGGAATGAAGAATTGAAGAGTTACCAGAAAGAGAGAGTTCATGAGAAACGAGAAGAACAAGCTTCGACTTCATGAAACTGAGAGGATTCGCTACTTTGACTTTAGGCGGAGGCGACGCCTTCGGATTCACCGTCGATTGAAACCGTTTACCTGCAGCAGGGACATCAAAGAGACGGCGATCACATGAGGAATCATAAGCGGCCCTGATAATAAACGCCACCGCCGTCGAGATGGATAGCAAGGCTAGCAGAACCAGAAACCATCGCTTCTTCTTGTGGAAGAAGAATGTTGAGGATCCCGTGGACTGCTTCGCCATGGTTAGGGTCTGTGAAAGTGGGTGTGACTATTTTAGATGATCCAAGTCTCGGCATTGATCTAGGGTTCCTTGAAATCTTGTCATGCGCATCTGATCGACCTATAGAGAGATGGACACTTGTAACGATTGCTGAAAAGGCAGAGCTTGAAAATTGAAATCTTTCCGGAGAGATTGAAATGGAAATTTGTGAATGGAATATTGATCTGTGGGTAATATGCGAGAGCCGACCATGAAAAAGCTTCGAGCTTTGGGTCCGCCGAATTGTGTTACCAAAAAGTGACATCTTTTGTGGTAGACGTTACAATAATAAAGTCCTTAATATTTTCAAATTTTATATTATTATAACCAGTAAAAAAAGCCTAGCTTCGTTTCGGATTTTTTTTTTTTTTTTTTACTTTTATTTTAAAATAAACCAAAGTTTTGGGTCTTTAAATTCATCAATTAAAATACAAACGGCGAACAAAGCCACTACAAATTCAATACTTAATACATCGAAACCAAAAAAAAAAAAAAAAAACATATGTTAGAGTATAATGAGTATTATGCCAAAAGTGTCATTTTAAAAAAAAATTATTTATTTAGATAGGATTGAAAAGTCAAAAGGAGGACCAAAAATGTAACCTTTACAAAGTGGTGTGGTCAAAATCCAAAAAAATAAATAAAACTTTACTATTTCCTAAAGGTTTATGTATTACTATATAAAAGAAAAAGGGCCAAAAGTGTAGCCTTTACAAAGTGGTGTGGTCAAAACCCAATAGAATGAAAATATAAAAATTGTGAAATTCAACAAAATCAAACAATGAGGGACCAAAACAGTCAATTTCTGAAACTATTGTGGCCAAACTCCTAAGCACATCAACTTTTCTATTCGTTAACTCTCTATGCTTTAATATGTAGTATTAATTTGTGTATTAATATTAATATATAAAAGAAGAATGATCAAAAGTATAATCTTTACAAAATGGTGTGGTCAAAATTCAAATGAATAAAAGAAAAAAATAGTGAAATTCAACAAAACCAAACAACATGGGACCAGAACAGTCAATTTTGGAAACTATGGCCAAACTCCCAAAAACATCATTTTCCTTAAGTCCATATGTTTTAATATATACACTTATTTGTAGAGTTTTTTTTTAAGGGGAGGTCACTTTTATTTGTAGAGTATTAATTAAAAAGTTCTTTAAAGAATTTAGGGGGTAATTTCAAGACTTTCTTAAAATTATAGAGTTTTTTTTTGTTTACACTTATATTTAGGGTTATGCTATAAATACTCCCTTAACTGATTTTACCCCCCCTAACATCAATCTAATCAACCTTTTAACTGATTTTACCCCCCTTAATGCCCACTCCCGTTATTATGTCTAATAACACCTAATAACACCAATGAACACCGCCCCCCCTCCCATGTTATTCCATGTTAAAGTCATCCTCGTTGCTTCCCGTTACCACCATAACATCTCTTAACGCCATTTCCTTTTTTTTCTCCTAGTAACGTGTGTGGGGCGTTGCCCACACCCACCACTCTAACTGATTTTACCCCCCTACCATCAATCTAATCAACCTTTTACATTTGATTTGACATCATTTTTTTTCTTTTTCTTTTTCTTTTTCTTTTTCTTGTTTTTTTCCTTTTTGTTTTTTTTGTTGTTTTTCTTTTATTAATAATAATAATAATAATAATAATACTATTATTATTATTATTATTATTATTATAAATTTCGATATCATATAAAATTCGGACAACATTTTAAAATCCGGACAACATTATAAATTTGGACGACATTATAAAATTTCAACGACTATATAAAATGGAACAAAAGTAAAGTTTGTTTTCAATCCGCATAACGCACCATGCAAATGTAATAACGAACCAATTTATGTCGTCCAAATTTATAATGTCGTACGAATTTTAAAATTTCACCTGAATTTATAATGTCATCAGATTTTAAAAACCGATTTATAAAATATAAATTAAAAAAGAATTAAAAACCGATTTTATTTAGTCGTTCGAATTTATAATGTCATCCGATATATAAAATGTTGTTCGAAATTTATAATAATAATAATAATAATAATAATAATAATAATAATAGTAGTATATAATAAAAAATAATTTAAAACCGATTTTATATAGCCGTTCGAATTTTATAACGTTGTCTGAATTATAAAATTTTGTTCGAAATTTATAATAATAATAATAATAATAATTAAAAACAACAAAAAAACAAAATATGAAAAAAAACAAAACAAAAAACAACAAAAGACAAAAAATCAAATCAAATGGTGGAATTGGAAAATGGAGGGGATACTTATAGAAAACCCCTATATTTAGAAGGTTTTTTTAACATTTATGCTCAAATAGACAAAAATTGGGGGTCAATTTCTAAATTTAGTCATAATTTTTTTTTCCAGATATAGACATAAAATTCTTTAGGAATCCTCTCTCAAGGATCCTACTATGTCATAAAATAAAATATCACTTTAAAGTGTCATTTATATGGATCTATTTCATCACATCCATTGATGTTGAACGACATATTCAAACTTTTGATACCCGTTGTTCCAAAACTTGCTTTAATCATATAATGACTTTACTACTCGCACATTTTGTTGCTTTCCCTCGGGTAAGATAACTGCTTGGCAGTTCCATGTATATTTATACTTCTAAAACTTTGTTTAGAAGTTTTAGTTTCATATCAGAATGATATACTTCCAAATTTCGAGAAGTTACAACCACATATAATGATTAGAGCATACAAATAAAATTAATCAAGACATTCTTATGTTTGTAATCCAAACATATATTTCAAATATGTCATTAGCTCTTACTTCTCATTTGGAAACTCACTAAATCGTAATGATTTCTCAAACTTAATAGTTCAAACGATAGAACCATTATTAGTTTTTACAACTTAATCCAATATGATCTTTTAAGAAGTGATCATTTGATTCTAAACTTATAATAATCATATTTCCATTCATAGTCCTTTCAACTTCATATTGAATATCTTAATATCCACTGAAACTTTTATCTTGTATTGATGAATTCCAACCAATATTAGTCGATTTAATGGAAATATCTTCTTGGAATATAGAAGTAACATTTGATTCTAAATTTCCAAACAAGAAATCAGTACATATTTCTGTTGAAATCATAGACCATTATGTTATAACTGATTCTCATATTCTTTGGATCTATATGCTTTCATTTTCCTCTTGAAAGTTCATTTATAGCCTAGTGGTTTACATACTAGAGGTATATCCACTAGCTCTCATGTGTGATTTGGCAAGATAGAATCCATTTCACTTTTAATTGCCTCTTTTGATTGAGGTCTTTCAGAGAAAGGGAATTCCTTCTTGAAAGTTTGAGGTTCTCTTTCAACCATATACATGCAGAAATCATCTCCAAATGATTTCTCACTTGTACCCTTTTACTCCATCATGATCTATTTCTTCCTCCATTTCTTCTTCATGAGAGTATTCTTTATGCCCAATTATTTTGGAGTACTTATAAAAACATAAAAAGCACATTTGCGTTTGTCGATTCTATTAGCATGCCTTTATAAATCTCCAACATTTTAGAGTCATATAGAGGAATACAATAAGAACTACTATTGTTTTGTGCATAACCAATAAAGATGCAACCAACAATCTAGTGTCCAATCCTTACAACCTTGGGGTTAGGTATAAAACCTTTGCGAGACACCCCCACATTTGAATGTATTTGTAAGATTGTTTTATATCTGACCATAACTTGTATGGTGTTTTATTCGTTTTCTTTTGGGGTACCTTATTTAAAAGGTAGTTAGCTTATAAGATAGCTACCCCCACATTCACCGGGGAAAGCATAACTTATCAACATGACATATCTTTTAAGATACGAATTTCCTTTCTGTGACACAATTCTTCAAATGGTGATATATTCACATACACAAGCAGTTTTTAGTACTTTTAATCTTTTCGTTGAATTGATTGTCAACTTCAGTTTTATACACTTTAAACTTGCATATTGTGTAATCTTTACTTTTAAGTAAATTTACATAGCAAAGTTTAGTGTAATCGTCAATAAAAGTGGGAAAGTACTTATTTCCACATTTACATGAATTCGACTTCTTATCACACACATTTGTGTGAATCAATCCTAAGGGTTTAGTTTTCCTCTCAATGGACTTGAATGTTTGGTGTATTAACTTTGATTCAACACATATGCTGCATCAATATTTTGACTTATATGAAAGTGAGGTATGTTTTCAAGTTTGATTAACCGTCTTAATGTGTCAATATTAACATGTCCAAATCTAGCATGTCACACATTAGAAATTTAAGCAAGTAAGCGGAAGAGTTATCAAACTCATTGATATTAGGCTCATTAGCCAATATATGGAATTTAAACATTCTACCATCCGCATAACACTTACCTATAAACATACCATTTTAAGTTAGTACAAACTTATTGGACTCAAACACCAAACAAAAATCCATTTTTGTTCAACAACCATCCAAACACTAAGTTCTTCCTAATCAATGGAGCATACAACACATCATTAAGTGTTAGCTCTTTTCTACGTGATACCATTTCTGGAATGTTTTAAACACCAAAGTTAAATGTTTAGAATCACAATTTCAAGAATAATTTTTTTTTTGCCTCAACTTGGACAACCGTATAATTATTGGGTCACTCCCTCTTTGAGCACACATGGCATGTAGCACCCATATCAATCCATCACTCAATGGACTTAGCATCCATAGAGTTTACTTCGGAAATCGTTCCACTTTGGATGGTGATATTTCTGAAATCATTTATACCCTAAATATAAATGTTTAGAATTCTAATTTCTAGAAAATATGTTTTCCTCTTGCTTGGACAAAACTCAACATAATTAAAAATCTTTATTTGAACAATTAGGAAACTTGATTTCTGATGCAGAAATTCTAAAATTTGATTTCTCATGCAGAAAAATTGATGCATAAATTATGATATCGGAAAATCTGATGTTTTCTTTCATCAAAACTATTTAAAATGTGATGTTTTTAAGTAAAACCAAGTTGTTTGATGATTTCCAAAGCTGTTTTACATAAAATCGAAGTTGTTTTTGACTAAACAAAGCCTTTTTGTTTTTCACAAAACAATGCAGTCTGTTCAAGACTGCTTTAGCCCCACTTAAACCTGTCAAAAATGCAATATAGGTTCATAATTTAGTATCCATGTCTCTTAGCTTTCAAGGGACTACTTGCACAAGTGCACACGGTTTTTCTACAATTTATTATGAATTTTACAAAACTAGGTATCATAGCTGTTAAAATCTAACTAGTCAGTGAAAATCGTATTTTTCACCCTAGTTAGAGTTGTTTATAGCTTTCCGCCAAAACTAATGAAACAAAGTAGACTCATATACCAAACTTTGAGAATTGGTTTCAACTAAAAATGAGCATCTATGATTAAGTTATGATTTTTCAAATATTGGTACAGATTAGAGCATTTCACGGCAACACCTAAATTGTGTTTTTGAGTTAAGCTAGCTTCTTAACCCATTAGGTACTTAATAGAATCAGTACCGAAGCTGGAAAATTCGATGCTTAAAAACAAATACATGTCTTAATGACTTAATGACCAAAGATGCTTCAAAAAAAATCCATTTTGTTTTCTTATGAAAATTGTGCAATATCAAAATAATGAAAGTAAATAGTTTCCGATTTCTAGTTCGTTTCGTACAAAAGAATTTGTTTTAAGATTGTAGGAATAATATTCCGGTAATGTACGAAAACAAACAAGAAAATAGAAAAACCGAGGCATGTGTTTCACACATTGTCCTTAAAACAAATTCGACCGCTACCGGGTGTTTGTTTCCCAGGATACAACAGTTTGAAGTGGTTCTTCTAGATCACCCGAACCCTCAATAGGTCTGGATTATATCTTCAATATAGCTAGAAAAAGAAGAAGATGAAGTGGGAAAAAGAGAGTTTTCTTTACCTTCTTTTGGTGTCCTCAAATGGTTGTAGAATAATGGTATTTATACTACACATTCTATAACCTCCCATTTAAACACCTCTATTAATCACAAAGATTAATGTGTGTTAATATGTAATTAAATTGTAATATTAATTACAATTTATGTTACGAAAGAAAGAAATATTTGCAAGAAAGGTCCCTGAACTTTTCTTTTCTTTATCCCACCCATTAAACTCTTTTATTTACTTCTTCCAACACCCTTACTTTAAGGATTAATTTCTCATTCATATTAAATCCATTTTGGATGTGTTAAAAAAATGGGGAAAACCCATTTTTATAAATTGGTTAACACCAATTTTCCAACAGACTTCAACTCCGGCGACGACTTCAACTCCGGCGACGACTTAAACGACTTGAACTCCGGCGATGAATTCAACTTCGCATCGGGTCGCACAGCTCTCTCCGTCACTGATGGACCCCCGAATTCCCCGATGTTATGGCCGATAGATACGGTTCCCGGGTATTTCTCACATTCTCATCTAATTATTAATGTCGAAAATGTCGAATATGATTCAAATTAGAGGAAAACCCATTTTATTACACTGAAAATGTATACAGATTTAGGATTTTTAGGTTTAGAAATCACAGGTACGTTATTTGGGATGATCCATTCCGCGGAGGGGGATGTCAGTCCGCAGAGGGTGCTCTGCGGAGTGATGTGTTACCTCCACGGAATGTTATAATCGAAGCAATGCAGTCCTCCGCAGAGGCTAGAGGTCAATCCGCAGAGAGGCCTCCGCGAAATGACCTCTACCCTCCGCGGAATGACCTTAAAAATAGGTTTTTGCAAAATAATTTTTTTCTGCTTTTAAGTATGTTGCTATTTTTTCATAATGAAATAATATTTTTTTTTATTTTCAATTAGTAATGTTTTAAATGAAATAATATTTTTTTTGTTTTGTAGCACGAAGATATCTATCAAAAAGCGGATTTAACTTTGAAAGGCGTGGTGGGGACTATCATTAAAGACTATTTTCCGCGCCTAACACAATCACAACGAGTATTATTCGAAGGTTCCCCCTTTGGAACATTCTTAGGAATGCATATCCCACATGGTGATCCCTTACTTGTGCATATGATGATGTTGCACGAAGTAAGGTGTCAACAAATATTTGAAATGGGGAGGTTTCTGTTTGATATAGAGGGGATCCAGTTGGGTTTTGGTGAAACTGAATATATTCTGATTTGTGGTTTAAAAGTTGGTCCTTATGTGGATTTAATCCATGACGAAAAGGGCCAGTCAAATTCAAATCTCCGTGCTCGGTTGTTCCCAGATATTTCTGATGCACGTTTGCGGCTGAAAGATTTAGAAGACTTAATTATGTCCCCGAATTATTTGGCACTACAAGATGAAGATGTTGTGATGCTTATCCAGCTTGTTTTTATGTTGAAGGGTCTACACGGACGGGACGTTAAAACGGGCATTCCTGCAGCAGTATACAAGCTTGCTGATAATATAGATGATTGGAACAGGTATTACATTTAAAACAGGCATTCCCGCAGTAGTATGCAATGCACTAATTATAATAAATAAATTGAAAATTGCAGGTTTGCATGGGGTACGTATTTCTGGAAATATACTTCGCGTATGATGCGTGGAATTTTTAAGAAAATAGAAGAGTTTAGAGAATTCAAGCAGGCCAATCCCGAATCGAAGAAAGTACACAAGTATACCATTCCCGGTTTTATGCTTCCGTTTAAGGTTACTTTCTAATGCATTTTAATAGTTTTCATTGTTTAGTTTTTTATACTAAAAAAATTTGAACTTCGTTTTGTATTATATAATAAGTTTGTATCATGACTTTTATAGTATAATAGAACAATACTTACATTTTTTTTCATAGATATGGATTTTGGAGACGTTCTCAGAGGCAACCAAAGTTTTATATACGCACGCCGACAGAATTGCCACGGATGAGGGCGTGGAGAAGTAAAACACCGTTAAATTGGGTTCAATGTTGTCGAATAATGAACGTGTCTGTGGTATGGTTTTTATATTAACAATCATCTATATTTACAAATTCCAATGTATTTTCATGTTAAACTAACAATTTGATTTTTGCAGCCTAACAACCAACCTATTAATGTCATGGCAACCCCGGAGGAGCTGATGTTGCCATTTTATGTTCGTTATGTCAATTGGACTCTTAACCCTGTAGAGTCTCCCCCACGGCAACATAGTCCTGTCCGAAATAGTCCACCTCATGTTGCCTCGCCTGCTCGAAGAAGGATGTACAAGTCCGAAATACAAACATATTTGACTGAATCTGCCACAAATGCTTCTTCCTCGCAACATCTTGAAAAAGAAACAAGTTATATGTCAAACGACACATCAAGATTGGTAAAGAAGAAGAAGACAAGCACAAAGGCATTAGTGAAGCGTCTACTAGGCGTAGTGGCTGACTTAAGTTCTAAAGTAGACCGTGTATTACAGAAAAAAGATGAACCAGACACAAATGTTGAACCAGACAGAGGGTTTCGAGAGGAGGAAGAGGTGGAGGAGGAGGAAGAGATGATAAATGAAGAGGAGGAAGAAAAATATTACCATCATACACATTTTAACTATGATGATATAGGTACTCATGGTTTGGAGGGGGAATTTGGTCTACACCTACGCATGTTGAGCCGTCATCGGACGTGGGTGAACATCACACAAAAGAAATGACTCCTATTATTAGGCCGCAACGAAAGAGGGGTGTTCCATGGTATCAGTGGACTCCGTTCACAGTGGTACAAAACTCAAATTTTAAATTTGTTATATTTTTAAAATATTAACGTATTGATAATTATTTAACATGTTAATTTTTTAGTTGCAATCCACACCAAAATTGAAGAAAATCACCAAAGCAAAGAAAAAAAAGTGGTGAAGAGTCCTGAAAAAGCAAATGAAGACATTGTGAATGAAGAGAGTAATGATGTTTCAAATCATCTCCTGCTCGACAGTGTTGAAGCTGCCAGTACGTTGAGTTTTTGGAAAGAATGGAATAGGATCTCTTCCAACCTAAACACTAAGCATAGGCTGCATATGCTCACACTGGATGTGGAGTTTTGGTCGAGATTACTTGCAGTTACTGACGTTGGATGGTTAATTTCTTCGGTAACATTCGTTAAATATAATTTTTAACTACATTTTTAGACGATAATTTATATAAAAAATTGTAACATTTTTATCTTAAAATGTACAGCATATTGCGATATGGAGTGCCTTGCTCATGGAAAGACGGCCGGCGAACGCAAGGTGTACGATATTCCCTCAAGGACTTAATTTGCAAAACGGAAAACATATTTTCTTAGGAATATAGCAAATGGTGTCGGAGGCCATCCTAAATGGAAGGATGTGGATATGGTTAGTTAAGTTTATTAATTATTTATTTTATATAGGAAATGAATTAATAACTATTAAATTTGTTTTTGTTTGCAGGTTCTGTTCCCCATAAACGTTCCTCATGCCCATTGGTTTTTGGCAGTGCTACATTTAGATATTTGGAAAGTACACATTTATGATTCATCACGATGTATGAATTACTTCACAACGTACTTGACTGGTGGAGAATTCAAAAGTTTTGGGGATAGTATAATCGAAGAGTTAGATGCGATTGACTACTAGAAGGATTTCCCCGATGGACACAAAGACAACGCAGTTGTGGATTTTATTGATATTGTAGACGCGCCGCAACAAGAATATATTACTAATAGAGGGGATTGTGGAGTATTCGTAAGCATGTATATGGAAATGATTGCTTCGGGGGTACCGGTGAAGAGTGATAAGCCATGTAGAGATGCGAGATTTCTCTACAGAAATAGGATGACAAATATTATTTGGGATACTAAATAACTTTATGTTTGGAAGTTTGTATACATTATTATGAAATACTTGTTTTTAATAGTTTTGTTTAATATAAACAACTTTTGTATCATATATTTTTTGAAACATAGTTCACCAACATATATTACGCTACATTAAAAACAAAAAAAACATTTGAAATAACATAATAACATTACAGAAAACATTACAAATAAAAGATGAACGACTAACAAACATTACATAGAACATTGCGGTAATATTCCCTCATAGTAAATAAATATTTAGTTATTTCAAGTTGTTATATGCGTAATATTCTTATCTTGACTTACAGATTCGTACTTTTCTCACGTCTATGATACCAATCATATTCGTTGGTCAAGTACCTCTAATTGGGGTGTATGTAAGATCCATGTACATTGTGGTTGCTTTAGATGGAAATCATGAACCCCTTCTCATAGCGTTTGCTTTGGGAACCATAAACCGTGACAATTCATGGTTATGGTTCATGAGGAGGCTTAAAGAATGTTTAGGTGACAATACAGAAGTTGGTTTCATAAGCCATATGTCTGATTCTATAGACTTTGCAGTTCAAAGAGTCTACCCTGATTCATATCATGGCTATTGTTGTAAAAATATAGCCGAGAAAATACGCGTTTCCATCGGAAGCAATACAGTCGTAGAGCAGTTGTTCTTGAAGACTTGTAAAGCGTATAATTTATCTCATTTTTATGCATGTTTGAACAACTTAAAAAATGAGGTTAATGGAAATGATCTTCATTGGCTTGACAATATTCCCATTGCAAAATGGGTACGGGCTTATTTTCCAAGAGTACGTTTCAATGTTAAATTCATTGACATTCCCGTTGTTGTCAATTGGTTAAGAACAAACACGCATGAGTTTCCAATAAAAACAATCATTGAAATGGTCCATGACTCGATGCAAGCAGTGTATCTTCAACGTGTTGTGTTTGGAGGTAATTATAAGTTATGACATCACTCAAATGGTCAATTGATATGTTATTATACGTTATGACATCATAATTTTTGTTTTTTGATTCAGTTCATTTCACAGGGGATTTTCATGGTCTTCTAACCCCTTATGCACTTAAAGTGATTCATAAAAGATTTATCCACTCGGATGGTTGTAGGATTACGCATATTGTTGGCGACAGATATGAAGTGAGTAAGTATTCAACAACCGAATCTGTCCAATTGGACCGTGGTATTTGTAGTTGCGGTAAATGGCAAAAATGCGGTATACCTTGTGAGCATGCTATAGCTTCACTACAAAGACTCGAAATTGCAGAAATCCAGCAAATGGTAAATTTAAAGTTAAGTATCGCGGTGTATCGAAATGCTTATCAAACTGAGACGGTCAATCCTATTCCAACCCTTAGGCATTGGGAAATACCAGTTGAAAGTGTTGTGGTCTTACCTCCACGACAATTCAATTGAACTATATTGTATGGATCACAACGAATATTAGTTTGTATTCCGTTCTACGTTAACCGTAGTTGTAATGGTCTGTTGGCGTTCTTTACTTTTTAATAAAAAATGTTTACCTTTAAATAAAAAATTGTATTCCCATAATTGTAATGTATGGATGACAACGACTTGACAAAGAGCTCTGCAGACTGACAAACATTATTGCGGACTGACAAAAAGCTCTGCGGACTGACAGCAGCTCTCTACGGAGTGGAAGGGACTATATATAGTCATGGATGGTCGTTGGATTTTTGGTATAGAGTTATAAATTTTTTTTACATTTAAAATGAGTTCATCTTCAACTTTGTATATTTGCTCATGCAACGAAGTTGATTGTTTCTATTGTGATCCGATCGACCCTTTTCTTGCCCCATCACCAAATTTAAGAGAGCAGTATATGTCTGAGGATACTTGGCAACAACTACAATGGGCTGAAGAACAACAAAAAAAAGATAAACACTCATATCGAGCTCTCACTGAACGTCGTGACCTCATTGCGGCGGAGTGCAAAGAGGTTGAGGAAAGGATGACGATTACTAAAAAAAAATCAAAGATCATGAGGAATGGATAAAAAAAACTAAGAAGAATATCAAACTGTCTGAAAAATGGCTTGTTGACAAGGATGCAGAAATGATAGAACTTGGTAGCCAAAAGGACCGTATGGAAGATAAAATAAGAATTAAGGACGACTACATAACAATGGAGAAAGAAAAGTATCCTTTGCAATTCCCTTAAGTTAATTACTGTTGTTGTACGTTTACTATATGTTTCTGGTTTGTTGAATGTATTATCTTTGAGTATTAGTTATTATTCTACTAGTAATGATGCATTAATATAATCATAATATTACCCATCATCTTTAAAATAAACACACCATTTCAAAGTACACAAATTAATGTCCTCTAAAACAAAATATAATTAATTATAAATACAACATTAATCATTCAAATCAAACGTTGAACAATAGTCTTCTCTCTGCGTCCCACTCGTCCAACGCGTCTCTTGTGTCCCGTGCGTCTCTAGCGTCTCCTGAGTCCCTTCTGTCCCTTTCCCTTTCCCTTTTGTGTTACTACCAGATGCCACACTACTTTTTGTAGCCTTTTTTTGTTTCTTTGGGACCAATGTCGGACAAGTCGCTGCATTATGTGTTGTACTATCACATCTACTACACCTTCTTACTATAGGTTCCTCACCTTGTGACGGGATACGATTTCTGTTTCTCGGTCTACCAGCTTGACGTGTATCCATTATCGGGGGTTTAACAACCATCATCTCAGCAGGAATCTCCCAATCACACGGTTCTGGAAGGGGGTAAACCGGCTCCTCATACGTACTTCGGTACGTTTCCATTTTGTAAGCATCTATAGCCAGATGTCTGAAGTTAGTTTTTTTCAAGTGCTTCAACACCATTATGACATGACCACAAGGCAACCCAGTCCCTTCCCAATATTTTCATGTACAAGTCTCTTGCCTCAGATCAACTATGCCACCATGTTTGAAATCATGCACTTGATATATTGCATCTGAAACACCAGAAACGGACCATACTGTCGTACGCTCTTCATTTTTACTAACTACTTTTTCAGCCCACTCGGTTAGCACTGTTGAACGTTTCCCTGTAAAGAAGATATATATATTTAACTTATTATTCGACCTAATTAAAGTCCAAATTAAATTCATACCTCCTTCGATGCGACGTTTGTTACACCATTCCTATGAAAGACGACGGAAGAACTCAAGAAGGGGTATTATAGGCATCTTCCTTGCATCTACAGATAAAGCATTCATGGATTCTGCACTGTTCGAGGTCATGTAATCGTATCGTTTCGACAGCGAATATGCTCTAGTCCATTTAGCACGAGGAATTTCACTTAGATACGCTGCTACTTGTGGCCTAGTAGAACTAAATCTATACCACAATTATTCAAAAACATTTCTTTTGTAAGCTTTCACAAGCCTCCAAAACAACACTTTTGTTTTATCATTTTTCCCAAACCTGTGTACTATGTTTCCTAGTAGATGAAAAGCACACAAGCCATGATGAGCATGTGGGAAAACATTTTCAATACTAACCCGAATTGCATCGACCCTATCAGTTACAAAAGTCAATTTTTGACAATCACCAACACATTCATACAACTTTTCAAGAAACCATGTCCAAGTAAGACCACTCTCTTTTTTGCATATTCCGTGCGCAAGGGGCAGTATCTGGTTGTTCCCATCCATAGCTACTGCATGCAATATGGTTCCCTTAAAATCACCCTTCAAATGGGCACCATCCATAATTATAACTTTACGACAAAAACGTTTGAACGCTCGTATCTGCAATATATTAAAATGGAACACATAAACACTCTATAATTTGTTTAAAAAATTATATATTAAATAACAACAAGTTTTTGTATTTACCGTGCTCCCAATGGCATAAAAACAACACTCGAAACAATCTTCAGAATCTGTTTGAATATATGCCACTGTACTGGGATTATGTCTCTTCAAATTGTGAAAATAAATAGGAAGTTTGGAAAAACATTCTTCAGAGGATCCCAACAACAGTTCCATAGCATATTGTTTTGCACGCCAAGCTTGTTTGTAATCTACATTGATTTCCAGCAAAGCATTCAAATCCCTTGATATTTCATTAGGCCTCCAAACCTTGGAACGAGTTTTTCCCATAATCTCATGCAATATAGTACCCATCACTTTTTTATTAGCATGCTTATGATTAGGGTGTATCTGTAATGACGAACATGTGAGCACGTTGTTGAAAGTCCTGATTTCAAATTCATCAGTGGGATCAAGGCGTTTTGCATATAAACGCCAACTACAGTTCTCAATTTCACAATATACTTCATAACAATTTTTTTTAGAATGTTTGGTCTTAAACTGAAACTTTTCTCTGGTTGCTTTAAGACTCAAAGCAAATATTAGTTGTTGTTTGTTATCATATGTTTGACGAACAAACATATCATCATTTGGACCTAAACTGTGAAATGGTCCGGGTTCAACAATAGGATTAGGACAATCAGGTATGGGAGGCATACCGTAAAATATGTCTGAAGCTTTTTTCCCGTGTGTGAACTCATCTTCTGACCATCCTTCATTTGACTCTTCATCGTCTGACAAAGTTTTGTCAGTCAGTCTTCCAAACTCATATAAATTTTCTTCTTCAACCGTATTCACTGTCACAGTATCTTCTTCTGGACACTCTTCAACATTATCATATACAACGTTTTCAACATTGTATGGTACAATCTTGTCAACCGCTTCTGTCTGTTCGACCAATCCCTGAAACACCTCTAAATACAAATGAACAATCTCCTTCGTTTCAGAAATTACATTTCTGAGTTGATGAACATCTGCTTCGTCTAAAATATTCATAACATACCCATGAACCGGGTGTTGAAATGATAATGATATATTACTATTGAACACATTAGCCTTAATTTTGATCGAATCAAACAATATTCGACGATCAAAATTTGGTGGAAGCAGTAAACCTAAGTTGTTAAACTTTGGTCTAACGTAGGTGTTAATCCCATTACTTATCTGCCAAAAACCCCCAGTACATAAAATAACAAAACTCATACTTTTT